TTTCTACATCTTTCTATACTCAACAAAAGAACATAACAACCTCATTTGTATTAAAGTGACGTTCATTGTATACAATTTGTTACATTATATATCATCTTGTTAAATTAATAAATGTTGTTTTTTTTAAATTTTGGTCATGTAGTATTGGTGCCTATGGCCTTTAGTTTACGAGTATAAATTCTGCAAAAACAAAGTGTCATGGTCAAAGGGAAGTAACACTGAAAATACAATAGAATTTCATGATTGTCTTTCTTCTTAAATAATTTCTGAACCGTAATTTGTTTTGTCAACGTTATAGCAAATATAAAAAAAAAAAAACCAAAATAGTTGCACCAATGAACGCGTCAAATCGTGTCGTTTAAACCTTACAGAAAATTAGTTTTCAAGTGGCTGTTAATACAATAGTGCCAAGCTGGGTAGCCTACAAGGAGACAAGTTATTGTACGCGGTTTCAAGTGCCTATTCCAGGGCTCGGCAACCTGCGGCTCACGAGCCACATGCGGCTTTTTTTGCTGTCAAGATGCGGCTCTCATGCTCCTTGCACAAATGTTAATAGTTATATTATTTCATTTTCAAAACTCATATCAAATATCATAGTGTAAAGAAAAACGACTTTAAACAGAATTAAAACAATTATCAGAGAACATTGAGAATATGTGCAGTAGAAAGTATACGGACAGCCCTATGGCAACAATCCCATGCTTGCCACTGCCCAAGTGCCGACTTTTTCCAATGTTTTTAAATGGGAATGTTATTTTTATTCAGGATGCATTTCCATATGTGTCAGTAATCATTAATTTGACATGAGTGACGTAGTTTTTTTAGCTATTAGCTTCCTATTGATGAACCGGGTACTGGACTATGGGGTACGAGTTTACCCTGTGTTCAGTGGGGTGGAAGTTACGCCTGGTGATAGCCAAAGGACAGATGCGACAGATACACTGTTACGAAACCGATACCCAAGCCAGTTAGTCGGAGTTACTCGTGTTGAGGCTTGCCTGGCTAATGGCAGACACCTTCTGAGCCGGTGATATCCGTTAAGAGAGAAAAAAAAGTTAACAACGTCTAAAGTGGATTGGGATAGTCCTATAGTTATATTATTTGATAACTAAGTTTATTATTCTTGAGAAACATGTGTATGATTTATATGAATAAACATTATTTGATATTTAAAACTATTTATTTTAATTAACAAATCACATTTATTTACCTAGTCCTAATCAAATAATAAAACATTGTAAAAACATGTGGCTCTTTAAAAACTGTGAAATTTTGAAAATTGTAACTTTTGGGTCTTCCGTCTCAAAAGGTTGCCGACCCTGGCCTATATCGTTTAGTTTCTTTGAAAGAAAAGAATGCATTTTAATGTTTACAACTGAAATTTTAAACAAAACTTAAACACGTTTTTTTCTCTAGGTGTGAGCGGTATGGCAAGGAATATGCATAGTTAAATTGTGTACCTGGTTCGTCAGGTATATTGTTAGGATTGCTTCGATTTTCTTTGGCATGGCACTGTTCATTATTGGATGTCAAGTACGCATCCTTAAATACCACATTCCACTGTGATACAACGTGTGTAAGTGTGTGTGTGTGTGTGTATATATATATCGAGCTGCAATTTGCATCTTTATCTCATCACTTAACCTAAGGCAACATCTAAATTTAGCATCGATAAGGTCTTACCTAATTACCTAATCAAGCTGTGTCGATCTGTGTAAAGCACAGCTCAAGGTGTGTAGAACTATGTTTAGCACAGCTCAAGGTGTGTAGAACTATGTTTAGCATTACTCGAGGTGTGTAGAACTATGTTTAGCACTACTCGAGGTGTGTATAACTATGTTTAGCACTACTCGAGGTGTGTAGAACTATGTTAGCATTGCTCGAGGTTTGTGTAAAAAAATTGTTTCAGTTGAAATTTAAATAGAATAATTTTTTAAATAGAATTATAATGAAATTAGATCTGCGACTAGTTAAGCCAGGACGTCTTTGCTCGTGTTCTCTAGTGTCTTGCTGATGTCTTTTGAGGAGGAATTTGGAATAATTTAATTTCAGCTACTTTTCCTGAATGATATGTCACATCATCAACACAGCTGGTGTCATGAGTGTTTCTCCAATGGTTTGTAGTTTACCCTGCTTTACGATCAGGAAAACCGCATTAAACGGCGTTGCGACGATCAGTTTGTTATTGGGTACAAAGCTTAATGCAGACTGGGTAATCTTTTTATCGAATCTAACTCTCTTCACCTTGAAGAGTATTAAAATTCCGACCAGCGTTTCATAAAAATCAGCTTGTTAGATAATTATAATTAACAGTAGGTCAGCCCATATTACTAATTCCTACCCGTTGTCCATACACAAGCATATACATTACATTGTTTTAACGTAGAAATAGAGACGAGGTATGCGTCTAGTACATGGGTCAGTTAACCTCCGGCTATTATTACACTCGTATTACCCGTCTCTCTCAGTTGAATTACACTTACGTTAATTACCCACCCCTTCTGTGGAGTATACACGTTAACCTGGTTTAAGTAAAACTTAAAACTCAGGACACTATATATTTGAAACGTTTAGAGACGCGCCAAGTACGCGCTGCTAGTTTTATATTTTAAAAAAAAAGCGTTTCAGCTGAAGAATGTAGGCCTATGTGTCTGTTACCACTAATTGATGAATTTCCTACAATGTAACAGTTTGTGGTTCTTAACCAACAACAGAATACTGTGACATATCTGGCCATAGTTAGAATACAAATGCGTCAATATTTTAATTGTGTTCGTTATGTAAGTCTATTTTAGGTCCGAACCACGAGATGTGATTGCAATGTGTCAACACTGTACTAAGGTGAAGCTAAATTCATCTACCTGATTTCTTACCACGCGTCTACCAGACTTGTCACTATATAACATCCTATGTTTTCAAAATACAACACGTCTACTTAGTTGTAACTACAACCTAATCTGTATTAATTTATGTGTCTGATATCTTACAATACATCTACTTTTTTGTTTTTGATACATCTAGATTTTTAGCCCCGTTTTAGAGATGTTAACTTATGAGTTTCAAATAATCATACCAAAAACTATCCAAATTAAAAAAAAAATTTTTTTGCAGAAACCTTACAGGTTGTGTTATAATCAAATCCCCAACGTCTAATGGCTATCGAATAAACGGTGTCATCTGCCCAATGGCTCGAACTCGAGACTTTTCGGTTTAGCAACCATGAGCTGTACCGAAATAATAATACGTACATATACTAATGTCAAGTTAAATGGTGTTTTGCGTTAATGTACTCTATTGGTCGCAAAGTTTGTATGGTTGTTTACCTTGCTTTCTTGTGGTTCTTTATTTAGTATTATATATTTGGTAACAATTAAAAAAATTAAAAACTCTAGTTAATAGTGCACTTTGATTTTTTTATTAGAATATAATAATTTTCAAAAAGCTTTAAACTTTATTTTTTGTGAATTAATATTTTGTTTCTTAGAAATTTAATGCAGAATTTAGTTCCGAATTCTAAAATTATTTAGCGAATTTTGTAGATTATTTTAACAAGTGCTGCGTTCCAAGGATTGATAACAGGTCAGGCTATCTGTAATAAAAAGAAGAACCAAACTATATTAAACAAAATGAAATTTGATTTACGTTAAAATTAAGTGTATATTCTATTAGTTAAAATTTAATTTTTTTCTTCTGTCCAATAGCTACACAACAGCATAAGCATCATCTCAAGGTTTACATTTAAACGTTTCTACTAGTGACATACATAAAAACAATTAACATTAATTCAAATGCAAAAAAAAAACAACTGCAGTTTGAAACATTATAATGCAAAAGTTGTCTATGTAGTCACATTTTTGTTACATCCATCACCCCATCCCTTCTCAACAAACATGGTCACACAAGTTTAATTATTCCTTCTACCCAAGGCGTGTGACGTCCTTTTAAGATAGACCTCTTATAGTCTTTTGATGCATAAAATGAGAACATGTTTTAAAAGTCACGAAGTAAATGGGTAAAGAGGAACTTACGACTGATAAAACTTCCTGTCTCTAGCCTTTGTGGCATTTTCGCCCTAAAAATTTACATTTTTAAGAATAAAATGTATACAACAATTCAATAGCAAAATATAAAATTTTAAATAAATTATCACTAACTAACTACGCGGGATCGCAACTCGGGACAAGTCATAATTTAAAATATATTTTTAATTACTTAAACTTTTAAAAATATAATAGAATCTCGTAGAAAACAGAATTGCGCACCAAGTAAACGGCAAACTATATGTGCATAAAAGTGCGAAATATTATTAGTACTTTATAAATTCATGTGTGTGTTTTTATTTTTTTGAGAAATCAAAAATAGAGTAATTTACCAATTCCGGTCAACGGACTTTACTAAAAAAATCGAGAGAATGCAGAAAATTAGATCTTTTACTTATATGTAAAATATCGTTTATCTATCTGAAACAGGAATAAAGTTATAGGCTTTTAAAAAACTAAAAGTAGAATGAGGTCCCACTTTCATTTATCGAAAATCGCTGAAAAGTTGATACAAAACTCTAAATTTGATATAATATTTAACGGTACTCAAGTTTTGGTGTTCATAGACATACACACATACGTACACACATAGACAGAATTGCAAAACCCAGTTTTTCCCACTTGATTATGCGCAAAACGTCAACATTTTGTTATATCTGGATTTATAATTTCTACCCGATTACATTAAGTCCTTTATATTCCGTATATGATGGAGTATTGAGGTGTAAAACTGCGAAGACTCAAAATATCATGTGATTTTAGTGCACGATTACAATACTTCCTTCATACGATGTGTACGGGAAAGTAAAAACGTACTTGTCGTTTTTGTGGTTTCAGTCGTCATCGCAGTAGGAATGTGTGCTGTGGTTTCTGAAACAAGAATATGTTTCAAATGCTGTAAGAATTTAAACGTTTATAATTTCATCTAGAAAGATGAATCATGCCGTCCTAAACAATAATTCACTGCTCAAGTTTTAATAACATACCCATAGTAGTTTCAAATGACGTAGTAGTATCCGAGAGTGTTGTAGTTTCTAAAAGAAAAAGATTTAATGTTAATTTGAAGTTGATAACTAGACTAGTACACACAAATGTGCATTAACATTTACTTCTAAGTTTATTTTTAATTTTCACATCTTCATATCCGTTGCGTTGTGTCACTTGAGTGTTGAAAATTTCAACATTTAATGTTCTCTATCAAATGAAACACATAGAATAGGAACAAATATTCAAAAATAAAGACAACTAAAAACTGTTTCTAAATAAGCGGAAACCGGTTAAAATTGCATTCAATAATTTATTTTAAATTTAAAAGCAAAGAAATGTGTAATCAATTGCTAATTAGGCTGTGCGTAAGGCTCTGGATAATTTTCAAGGAGTCCATGCAAGTTTTTAATCTAATTGTAAAGATGAAAGAAATGTGAGGGTAAATTTATAAAATAAAAGTGTATATTTTCTCCAGCTCTTATACGATTGTTATAACATTTCCACAATACAAGTCTTTTTGATTTAATAAATAAACATTGCATTGGAAAGATAATTAGTTATTGTAAATTTAAGAAACAAACCAGTTGTTGCCGTGGTAACATCCTCTGTTGTTGTTGGAGCAATACATTTTGTAGTACGTGAATCTAACAATATGTAAGTTAATAGAGTTTTAGAAAGCGAAAACATTTTAAATGTGAATGACATCCGTGTTACGTATTATCGAAAGACATTTACTAATTCAACGACCATATTTTAGTTTATTTAAATATTTACTACATTACTGGTTGTTAGTGTCTTTATGGTTGAAAGAGATAGTGTGTTTTGTGTATTTAAGTTATAGTTGTTACTGTCACGTTGAAATACAGTTAAATCAATTAAATACAAATGTTACTGATTGGCGCATTAACACAGTTATTAGCAAATTGCATTGCATTTTTTGCTTGGTTAGGTATTTGCCTCAGGTATAACAACCCCTTCGCAATTTTCAACATATTTTGGGCTCAATATGAAATAAAATATGACATAGCCAAATGAATAACAATAAAAAAGGGATTTAACTTACTGGGTTCCATGCACATGTAGAAGGTTGCGTAACCATTGCATACGTGGTCGAGCACCATGTTATTCTGTCTCATTTGGACGCAGTCGAATATGTTTCCGGCCATTATGTCCGGAGATCCAACGTCCCACCAACTATATATCACACTAGCCGAGCTCAGATCCTCAGTCCAAACAAAGGTTCCTTCAGTCGTTAGATCATTTGCACCAATCCAGAAGTCTCTGTCTTTGGTCAAGACATTTATATGTTCATTTTTAGGGAAAGCATTTACTTACTTTAGCATTTATCATTTTTTGTTTGTTTCATATGTTGATAGCTTGTTTGTAATTATATGCTGGATTATGTTAAGTTAAATATATATATATATATATATATATATATATATATATATATATATATATATATCCCATATATATATCCCATATTCTGCTAGCGTCCCACTTATGGGACGCTTGTAAAAAAAAATTGCTAAAATTTATTAAACACTAGTTAAAACACAAATTATGTTTCATTGTATTTGAAAATGGTTAGACTATTGAATTTGTGTGTGTTTTGTGAAAAAAAATAATTTAGAAAAATGTTATAGCGCCGGATTTGCAGGACTTGTCAAAATGGCGGAAAAAAGAAAAAATGCGCACAGGAAAATGAATATCTTCTAAAATATTAACATTTGATGTGCAAAATACATTTGAAACTTGTAGCAGTACCATATTTCTATCTGATAAAAATTAAAGAATAACAATTTTTTTACTACTTCGTTATATCAAGTGTACAACAAGCGTCCCATACGTGGGACGCTAGCAACGAATGGCCCCATATAGATTGTTACACAAACGTCACATTTATTTGGACACTAGCGAGAAACACAGATGCAAATGTTTATGTTAAATGGTTATTTATGGTGAAACAATTGTTGACTTTGTTAACTGTTGACTTTTTGGCGTTAAGTAGTATTTATAGATACTTAATTATGACCTTGAGCTATATTTTCTTATATATTATTGTATTAAAAAATTTCAAATATTGAAAAACTAACATTTTATTTTTAAGATTTCAGAATTACACTTACTGAAGTATTTAATACCATTGAATACAAACTAATGTAGTATTGCTGCAAATTTACTAGCGCTTGATATTAAAATTATGACAAACCAGAATAATAACAATGGCCACGATTTAGGTGAAATTTTTTAGTCATGGGGGTTGGTTAACTCTCTTTATATAAGAGAGCTTAATCTACATATAGCAGAAATGTGAATTAGCTGTGTACAGTTGTGATGCCCTAATAATATTCCCCTCCAAAGGTTCCTGATACCAGTTTTACTTTGTTAACTTTTTAAGCAGATTCCTGGTGTTAGATTGGGTGCTGTTCGCATAGTGAGGTGCATACATGGATGAGAGCCATGAACACTCAATACAAGCCCCCAGAGATGGATCCGTGCCCTAGCAATGAGATGCCTGATGTCCTAATGTACGCCTGTGAGGGGTGGGGTGGGGGATATCGAGGGTAACAAAAGAGAACATGGCTGGATGACATCATCTGGGACTGGACCGGATCATCTTTTGAAAATTCACTGAGGGCAGAGTTTCTTTCAGGCATCATTTCGGAGGAGGGGGGGGGGGCTCTGCCTCCAGAACAAAATGGAATTTATATACAAAACAGACCTTAACCAATGTCCACCCTTCCCCTGAAATTTAAGTCCCCACCCCTGAAAATTTCAAGTACGCCCCCAAAAAAATCAATTATTTATATTTAATTATATTACATTTTCGATGAATAATAAGAATATTTGTGATCATGTGTGTATAATTAGATGTACTAGTCACAGCTTTACTTATTTCCAACTGTTGTTCACTTTGATGGATGCTAGATTGAAAGAAAACTAGACTTTTGAACATAATTTCTGCATTTTAGACCATGGTATGGCTAACCCAATTGATCATTATCAGTATTTTTAGCTGTCCTAAACAATGTAGTCATTGGTCTAACAATACAAAATCATTATACAGCTTAAATTTAGCGTGATTAGCCATATTTTGTGATAAATTATTTTATTTTTCAATAAATGTACATGGGGCCGTTCGTTGCTAGCGTCCCATTTATGGGACGTTTTTCCCACGTTTTCTTTAACTTGCTTTCGCCTCTGTATGTTTGTTTGTTTTTCCAATCAAATCTTGCGATCGAAATTTCGTGCACTTCCCAGTTAGCTAGCGCGCTGAAATTTTCAGGGAAGCTTTGTTTCGGATGACAATAGAATATTCAACTGTTATTATTACTAAATTGATCAATGGAAACATTTTATTGATCATTTTATACCCCTATATAATTGTACAAAAAACGTGAGGAAAAAGGGACATAACCCAGTAACTGTAATTTGATGAAAAGAAGGTTCGGTACTCTCCCTCTTTTTGCTTACTGAGTAGTTGTCACAACTGGTGGCCAGTATGGGGGAGACGATATGGTCGAGTGGTTGGGCACACGATTGCTAACCCGCTCGACACGGGTTCAAATCTATGTGTTCTAGTCAGTAAAGTATTCACACAACGTGTTTTTTACGAGTTGTCTTTTTACGAGTTGTCTTCGTTTACCCAAAAAAAAAAAAAAAAAAAAAGTGAAAGATAAAATCGATAGCAAGATTTCAATGCAAACAAACAGACAAAGACTACAAAGTAGAAAATAATAATCATTAAAAAAATCTTTAAAAACCCACGTTTTCTGATTGAACTAAAAAGTAGAAAATAAATGCTATACATCACAATAATGCAAGCGATCACTCTACTATAAGCGATGAAAAACGTGGGGCGCCGTGATTTTCTTACAGTTTCTAATACTGTTGACTCTCTACAAGCTCCCTAATAAAGTCAATAGTATTATCTAATCAATAGTAATATAACTTTTACTTCGGCGCCCCACGTTTTTCATCGCTTATAGTAGAGTGATCGCTTGCATTATTGTGATGTATAGCATTTATTTTCTACTTTTTAGTTCAATCAGAAAACGTGGGTTTTTAAAACTTTTTTAATGATTATTATTTTAAAAAATCGATATTTAAAAAAGTATTGATTGTAAAAAAAAATCCATAGTCATTCCTCCATTCAGTGCCCAAAAGCTAAACCATATCAAAAAATTATAAAAATTTGAGACATTGGGATAATATGGGATATATATATATATATATATATATATATATATATATATATATATATATATATATGTATGTATATATATATATATATATATATATATATATATATATATATATATATATATATATATATATATAATATGAAAGCATCATTTTAAGGCCGTTTTTGATATCACAGCGAAGGTTAAATAGATTATTTTAAAGAAAAAGCTTAACACACCATAAATATTAAACGCTGCTCTTAGGGCCGCCAACTGTGTTAATGATGTAATCGTTGCAAGAGTCCCCCCCATGTAATGACATGCTGACTGTTAGAAAAAGAATGTTATTGTAGAATAATTAACTTGTACTTTGTTCAAATTTATATGGAGAAGACAAAAGTAACAACATAAAGCAAGTTTGAGTTCCCTAAAATTTGCTCGTGCAATTGTATTTAAAAGAAAGTGTTAGGATGACAATCACAGTTAAATCTGACTACAAAAAAATTTCGCTTGTTTTTTTTTTTTTTTTGAGAAAAAAATGTGCTGCTTTGTGACAATTTAGTTTGAATTATATTTTAGATGTCTTTCAGAAACTAGAAAAAAAAATGCAAATGCAAATTGCGGTTAATGGAAATTGCTCAAAAGCTGAAAAAAAATCAATGCATAGTATCTAAAACTTATAAAACAGCGCTCCTGAATTTAACTGAAACGATACACATTTTATCTTCTTTGCGTACTCACTGAAATTAAAAATAAGTCAAGCCATGTTTGCAATCTTGTATGAATGTATCTCTATCATTGTTAGTGTGAATACAGTCACTAAAAAATTGTTTTAGTTAGGCGGACATAATTTTAAATATAATTGTGATATCTGATGGTAGGCTTCTAACTTTTTTTTCTTCTGGTAAATAATATTTTATTTCCAGGTGAACATTATACGGTGTGCATCGTTTAAATTAAGTGGTAAATATTTCTATTCACAAGTGCCAGTGCGATTACCGGTTAACGGAATGGGAATTTTACTATATTTTTTGTTTCCTAATAACTGAGGAATTTGGTAATTTGAAAGCATATTATAAAAACAGCACATTCTAAAAACTGTTGGCCTATCCCTGCTATTGCTCTTGTCCGATTCCATTGCAGGTGGCATTTGCAATATTGACTTATATACAAAAATATACTAGAAACATTAGCGAGCGAAGTTACATTTTATCCGTTATGCTATAAACATATTCGGGACATAAATGTGTAGAGTCAGAATTTATAGTAAAAACTTAGTAATGATCATAATGGCTTATATTATGTGAGGTTAATGTAGGTAGTTATAAAACAGATTTAGCTACCTATTGTGTATGCATAGGAACGAGCTGCATTAAGGAACTTAATTTTCATAACGTTAACTTACCAAGGCACTGGTCCAAGTAGCTTCCTCTCTTACCATCAGAAAACATTTTCCATCCACTACTTTACCGCCGTTCCACAGATCTGAACCTGTAAAATTGGTTGCTGAATAAATTAAACTTTGGATTGATTACTTTTTTTTCTTTGAAAGCAATGCATCGTCTACAACATAACTAAAAACTAATGTGTATTGTAGGCAATAATGTATTGTTTTTTTTTAATATACTAGGTTTGCAGACTGCCGAAGATGCGATTGTTTTGGATAATTAGATATACTGTTGCAACTGCAAACCTTCACCCAACTCTTCCGTCAACGCCCTCTACAGCAAACAACACTAACAATCAAAAACCCCAACCACAGTCAGCCGATTAGCAGACATATATATAAAAAATTACCATACAAAATGCATGTGTTATCCTATATACACAAGACACAGATAGTACACTCTTGTATACGAGCGACCGATGCCTTTACTAAACAAAGTAGGTTTGTTTTATTTTTCTTACTAGGCATTTTGCGAAGCTTCGCTTAGGTTTACGTAAAAATTATGAACAATATCTTAACTTCTACATAAGCAGCCATGTAGTAATCGGCTTGTAAGGACTGATAAATATTTAAATTAATAAAACAATAGATCTACTTTTTCTGACATAATTACCTACTTTAATTCCCTAAAAACGTTTTGTTTATACTTAACACATAACATTTAATTTTACTTTAAGTTAAATCTGATAATTTTAATAATTAATTAATTGTTGATTGGGTGGTATGTGACAAGGTGTAGAGTAAAAGTTCAAGCAGCATTTTTTTTTATTTTATATAAACACTAGCCGTCTCGACTAGACCCTGCACTGCCCTCTGTGATAATCATATCTGAAAGGACCATAACGTGTGTTTATTAACCAGCATATACTCGGCATGGACGTTTTACAAAAGAACACATAACTCTAACCATAACTCTAACTTTGAATTTTAAACTAACCACAACCAACCAAAACACAAACACAAAAGCAAACACAAACAAAAACAAAAACAAACACTAATACAAACACAAACCAAAATACAACAATAAAGGAAAAACAAACGCAAACATAAACATAAGAAACACATAAACTCAAAAACAAAATAAATAAACCGGGAGTGATCTCCCCTAAATTTATCGAATATTCTAATATAACACTACGTGAGATGTCAACTCGTAATATAGACATGATTTTTGTTTACTTAAACTTTTAAAAATAGAAAAAAATCTAGTAGAAAAAAAAATTGCGCACCAAGCGAGCACCAAAACCAAATGTGCGTAATAGTGCGCAATATTATTAGTACTTTATAAATTTACATGCGTTTTTTGAGAAATCGGAAATAGCGTAAATTAGTACTTCCGGTCAACGGAAATTACTCAAAATTTGAAAGAAGGTATAAAATTAGATCTTTTACTTACATGTGAAATTTCATTTATCTATCTGAATTAGTAGTCAAGTTATAGGCTTTTGAAAAATTCAAAGTAGAAAAAGTACCACTCGCTCAAAAGTTGATCAGGATCTACGATTTTGATATAAAACTTATATGTGAAATTTCAGCAGCCTAGCTGTAACGGTACTCAAGTAATCGTGTTTACACACAGACGGACACACGCACACACAGACACAGACATACGGACAATATTGCAAAATTATGTTTTTCCGTATCAGTGAGGTGTAAAACGTCGAGATTTGTAAAAATCTCGATTTTTTTTTTGCACGTTTCCAAGACTTTCTCTATACTTCGTATACTCGAGAAAGTAAAAACAAACGTAAACCAAAACGGAAACAATAACGTAGGATTTGATTTATTTCAAATCAGTAGACCGTCCCTGAGTCCAACCATCTCTGATGGGTACCTAACTCACGTTAGGGAAAGTAATGGCGGCTGGGCATAGTGCTGATTACTCTATATCTTCATATGCCGAGGTCACAGAAACAAGTTAACTCTACTTCACTTGTCCCATAGACTGTCAGGTTTGAAAGGAAACTTACTATGGTAACCTTTATATCCATAGTCTATCTCACTGTTTAAATCGGGCGTATGCACCTTAGCGCTTACACGATAGCCCAAGGCTCCACATCTAACACTCCGGGGTGCCGACGGATGCACTTCACTCAATTTAGTGAACGACTCTAATACCCCCAGCTTTTCCATAAGCCGATAGATAGAATTAAACATAGAGAACATTTCGGAGCGGCCTCTTAACTGTTATTGATTAAAAATAAAAATTAATAAACTGTGCGCTAGGTGTATAACATAAAGTATTTAAAATATCCGTGTTTTACCTATTACATTGCAATATAACAATGCATGCTAATTATATAATATTTTTCCAACACCAAAACAAACTAATAAAAAATGTTCTTCACTGATGAAATGTTTTTTTTTTAAAGGAAAGTAATTGTGTTTCCATGAACTATCAAGAGAAGTAATTAGCAATAAACGAACAACCTGGAATTATTTTTATTTTTGTAAAGGACGATACATTTTCTGTTACATTGTTTATATGATCTGACGTTAGTTATATTGATACGTTTAGGAAAAGAATGTTTTTTTTTACAAAACTATCTATTTTTTTATTTTTATTTATGTATTCATAAAATAAACGCTATAAAAATATTTCACTATTGTTATCAAGCAGAGCTTTTTTAGTATATGCAATGCTTGTCACGGAACTGTCGGCTGTCCGCCACATACAGAAATTAGCTTTATTTAATCTAACGAACGATATAAATCGTTACTTTTTTGGTTTCAAAAACGAAATTTATTTAAAAAATCATTACTTTAAAAAAATTACTTATCTTACTTATAGTAAGAAAATAAAATCATTATTGTTCAGATTTTTTTTCCTAAAATTACAATGTTTAAAAAGCAAATACTGCTACTTATAACAGTCTCTTGCTGTTTACCACAAGAAAAAAACCATTTAATTTATTACTTTCTCGTATATACGAAGTATAGAGAAAGTCTTGTAATCGTGCAAAAAAAAAAAATCGAGATTTTTGCAAATCTCGACGTTTTACATCTCACTGATACGGAAAAATTTTGCAATCTTGTCCGTATGTCTGTGTGTCTGTGTGTGTGTCTGTGTGTGTGTGTGTCCGTGTGTAAACACGATAACTTGAGTACCGTTACAGCTAGGTTGATGAAATTTCATATACAAGTATTTTATCAAAATCGTAGATCCGTATCAACTTTTGAGCGATTTCGGATAACCGGAAGTGGTACTTTTTCTACTTTGAATTTTTCAAAAGCCTATAACTTGAGTACTATTTCAGATAGATAAATGAAATTTGATATGTAAGTAAAAGATCTAATTCTCTACCTTCTGTCAAATTTTGAGAATTTTTCGTTGACTGGAAGTACTTATTTACGCTACTTCCGATTTCTCAAAAAACTAATGTAAATTTTAAAAGTACTAATAATATTGCGCACTATTATGCGCTTTTTTATTCGCGTTCACTTGGTGTGCAATTAATTTGTCTACGAGATTTTATTCTATTTTTAAAACTTTAAGTATTTAAAATGGATTAAAAATCATGTCTATAGCCCGAGTTCCCATCCCCTGTTATTTTATATAAGAATATTCGAGAAAGTTTAGGGGAGATCACTCCCGGTTTATTTTTAGAACGGTGTTAATCTTGTTCTGGTTTCACCTCTACGAGGGCGTAGAATCTGACAGACAATTATCCTATATCGCCGAGTGAATTACCGAGGTCAATGCAAACAATTAGCCGGCTTTACAGAACCTAAATACCGTAACAACTTTTAAAAAATAAAATACTTAAAAAAAAACCTTAAAAAAACACGTTTTTCTTGTATACTAAAAAGTAGAAGATAAATTTTGTGCTTCCTCGAGCTGTGCAGGTTCTTGTGATGACTGTTCATACATTTGATGACAAAAAACGTGGGTACGTTCACCATCAAATTTCCCGACCCATCTGCCCGACCCACGTTTTTTGTCATCAAATGTATGAACAGTCATCACAAGAACCTGCACAGCTCGAGGAAGCACAAAATTTATTTTCTACTTTTTAGTCCACAAGAAAAACGTTGTTTTTTTTTAAGTTTTTTTTTAAAGTATTTTATTTAAAAGTTTTTTTAAGTATTTTATTTTCTCCTTTTTAGTCCGTTGCTACACATGTAAAACGTGGTTTTTAAAAAGTTTTTATATAGTTTATTTTCTACTTTATCTAATGACTTGAATTAAGTATGACTTGACTAAGTGTTTTTAAATACATACACATTTAGAGGATTTTTTAGGTACCCATCAGAGTTGGGTGGACTCAGGGACGGTCTACTGACTTAAACCCGGATTCGAACCCGAGACTAACGGGTTAGCAGTCCAACCCGGATTCGAACTCGAGACTAACGGGTTAGCAGTCCAACTCTCTACCGCTAGACCACTCCGCCACTGATAAAACCTCTTAATTTTGTTTTGATAAATCTGGATTGATAATTTTTGCTTTAGAAATCATGTCCTCAAATTAGGGTCCTTGAGCGTAATTTAATTAAGCTAATTTAGGTCTCTAATTGCTAGTTTTTATGATTGCATCTGAAATTGTTAGGCGAAAATAGCCTGCATGCCGAATTTCAGATTTCTAGAGCAATCAGAAGTGGGCTAATTTTTGATGTCAATTTTAACAACAAACCCACATACAAACAAACGCGAAGCTGAGTTAAGAAAAACGTGTTAAAAATTCGCTTCAGTTTTTCATAACAATTTATACAAGAAAATAGGTCACTTTTATCGGCCTTGCAAGGTTCCCGATCGGAACCCTGATTTTTTTTATTACCTATGGGTGTTGTCCTACAAACTCAGGAGATATCAGAAGTTTGTATATATTGCTCACATAAAGCGCTTGTCACTAGCGTTAACTTTGCTGCCGATCGGAAATTGACCCCGTGGTGTACTTGCCTGCAAAACTGTAAGCGCCTCTAACACAGTCAAGTTCCCTAACCAGCAGCTGATAACTTTTCGTTTTATACATAGATTTTCTGTGCATTTAAAGGCTCAATATTATTAGATTTTAATAATTGTTTTATTGTTCCGTTACATTTTACAACATATCTACAGAGAAGCGAACTTACCTACTGCCCCAGGAGAGTCGATGATGAAAAGCAACGAAACTGACACCACTAGTTGAGATAATTGTGAAGTCCACATCCTCGTCAATTTTAGTTTGCAATTCTGCAAATAAAACTTCACTAACGTTTGACAAGAATACAGCAGTTTTTCTAAAATTATGAGCTTAACCGTCGCAGGTTGCTGCGATCTGGAACTGCTAAAGATGACACAAAGTACTTTTAGACCTATTTATGTTCATTAAATTTACTGTGATGTTAAATATTTATTCGTTCTTAATGTTTTAAGTGTGTAAAATTGTTAAGGGGTGGGGGATGAGTTAAAGTAAAACATTAACTGTACGTTAATCACTGTTCAAAATAGTGAGTTAAAATACGAGAGACGTATTCAGGTTTTCGGGTAAGGGTGATGAGCGGCACCCCCCTCCCCCATCTTTAACCATTTTGAAATAGGCGGTAAATCATTAAGAAAAACATGAACTAGTAATGAATTAACACAATTAGTAACTATTTCTACTATTTAATGTCAGAATAAGAATACAACAATTAACGCTAACCCGCCACCAAATGGAAAACAATCAGAAAAATACTGCTATCTACAACTAGAAAGTTAAATCCCTAGACTGACGAAACTACTTGTCCCTAACAGTGAAATCTAATCTAAGTCTAGTGACATCCCGTGGCCTGCCACCAGCTTACAGAGACGCCCCGTACCGTCTACCTACTCCAACTATCGATCTCTCCACGTGTCGTCCCTAACCCTTCTTAAAATAGTCAAGTCCACCGTGCTCACCGTTAGAAACTCCGCCCACCAGGTGTTAAATCTAATTGACGGTCATCTCCGGCCAGGTATTTCCCAGACATGAATTACAGCCCAGGCTGACCGTCACAGCCTCTCTTCGATCACCTGCACTCGTCCGAGTCCTATCTCATTATACGGGTGCGTCGTTTAACCCTGCCCCACCCCCATTGTTGCGTATGCCTCTGTATCGATGGCGATCGCTCCAGTGTCAGTAGCGTTGCGGGGAGTTATCAACAGCCAGCAGTTACAGATTATTAGGATAATCAAAAAAGACTAGCACTAAGCATCCTAATAGATAAAAGACAATGTGAACACTTCTCTTTCTCTCTCTCTCTCTCACACTCTCTTTTTCTCTCTCTCTCTCTCTCTGTCCGAAAGTTTATTTTTAATCGATGAAATTAGTATGTTAAGCGATATATGTAGAACTTAAAGATACGAACTTTTGTTGAAAATAATATGTTGATGATATATAAATGTATAAACTAAAGATATGTTCAGCAATGTACGTGTACGTGTACTACGTGTACGTGTACGTGTACGGGTACGTGTACGTGTACGTGTACGTGTACGTGTACGTGTACGTGTACGTGTATATGTGTATATGTGTATATGTGTATATGTGTATATGTGTATATGTTTATATGTGTATATGTTTATATGTGTATATGTTTATATGTGTATATGTGTATATGGGTATATGTGTATATGTGTATATGTGTATATGTGTATATGTGTATATTTGTATATGTGTATATGTGTATATGTGTATATGTGTATATGGGTATATGTGTATATGTGTATGTGTGTGTATGTGTATGTGTATATGTATGTGTATGTGTATGTGTATGTGTGTGTTCGTATGCATATGTGTATATGTATGGGTATTATTATAAAGCCGTTTTTACGTTCTCGTATATACGGAAAAACAAAATTTTGCAATATTGTCCGTATGTCTGTGTGTGTGTGAGTGTCTGTCTGTCTGTCTGTGTGTAAACACGATAACTTGAGTACCGTTACAGCTAGGTTCATGAAATTTCATATATAGGTATTTTATCAAAATCGTAGATTCGTGTCATTTTTTGAGCGATTTCCGATAACCGGAAGTGGTACTTTTTGTACTTTTCATTTTTAAAAAGCCTATAACTTGAGTACTATTTCAGATAGATAAATGAAATTTTAAATGTAATTAAAAGATCTAATTCTCTTCCTTCTGTCAAATTTTTGAGTAATTTCCGTTGCCCGGAAGTACTAATTTACGCTATTTTCAATTTCTCAAGAAACGCATGTAAATTTATAATATTGCGCACTATTATGCATATTTTGTTTTGGCGTTCTCTTGGTTAGCAATTCTTTTTCTATAAGATTCTGTTCTATTTTTAAAAGTTTAAGTAATTAAAAATCATGTCTATTTTCCAAGTTATATAAGAATATTCGTGAAAGTTTCGGGGGGATCACTCCCGGTTTATTTTTTTTTTTACTATAAAGTTTAACACAGCTGCGTTGATTACTTATTGTTATTTATTATGTGACTACTTTAGGCCACGGGCAACATAGTGTTTAAAGGATTTTATGAGTTAGACTAATTCAATTGAGTTGCTGTAAAGATAATTCTCATATATTGGTATGATTGAGTTTATGTCAGTTCATATGAGCTAGTTTTTTTTTTACAAAATTTGAATTGATATTAGATTAATGTATTAATTTTTTATAGTTTTAAAATACACTTGGTTTATAATCAGGCTCTATTAATATATCTGAGTTTCAAAAATTTGGAAAGTAATTTGTGGCACTTTTAGCGGTTGGTGTTTTTGTAATATACTTTAATTATTCGATAGACTGTGCGTTATAGCTAAGGATCGGTTGGAATTTTTTGTACGATTATTTGTTACTGTAGGTTTAAGCATTAATAAAGTGTTATAAATTAAATACACATTTGGCTTATGTTAAATTGAAAAATAGGGGTCTGTTAAAGCTACTGTAAATAAAATACTTAAAAAAAGCTTTTTAAAAAACCACGTTTTTCTTGTGGACTAAAAAGTAGAAAATAACTATTTACATACATTTGATGACAAAAAACGTGGGTACGTTCACCATCAAATTTCCCGACCCATCTGCCCGACCCACGTTTTTTGTCATCAAATGTATGTAAATAGTTATTTTCTACTTTTTAGTCCACAAGAAAAACGTGGTTTTTTAAAAAGCTTTTTTTAAGTATTTTATTTTCTCCTTTTTAGTCCGTTGCTACACATGAAAAACGTGGTTTTTAAAAAGTTTTTTATATAGTTTATTTTCTACTTTATCTAATCACTTCATTAAGTATGACTTGACTAAGTGTTTTTAAATACACGGACTAAAAAAATCTTGAGCGACCGATACGCTTTAAACAGAGAAAGGGTGTAATTTACGTTGCTGGCGTGGAGATCTACTCACGAATCACGTGATCAAATCTCCCATAAACAAACAAATAAACGCGAAGCTGAGTTAAGGAAAAACGTGTTTATGTGTATTTTAGCATTCCCAGCGTACCAACCGTGTCACCGTTAACAATGTGTTACCGTGTCCGTTCTCCTTTTTAGTCCGTTGCTACACATAAAAAACGTGATTTTTTAAAAAGTTTTTTTTAAGTATTTTATTTTCTCCTTTTTAGTCCGTTGCTACACATGAAAAACGTGGTTTTTAAAAAAGTGTTTATAAATACACGGACTAAAAATCTTGAGCGACCAGGATTCGAACCTGGGTTGTCGCGGCCACAACGCGAAGTACTAACCACTATACGATCACGGCCAGCGCGCTCACATCGATTGGGGCCGAAGTAACTGTGTCAATAGGCCTCAAGTCTTGTCGGTATCTTTAGAAATCATGTCCTCAATTTTATGGTCCTTGGGGCGTAATTAAATTAAGCTAATTACGGTCACTAATTGCTAGTTTTTATGATTGCATCTGAAATTGTTAGGCGAAAGTAGCATGCATGCAGGGGCGGAACTACCATACCGCCAGACCCCGCAATGCGGGGGGCCCAGGACGTTTAGGGGCCCGGTTCCGACCAAAAAACGATGCATTTTTTTTCAAAAATTATGTTTTTCATACATCTTAAAAGTGGTTTTGTAAAAAAACAAAAAACAAACAGGTCTATTATAGCAGAGATTGTTGCGTAGAAAAATAATTTAAAATCTACAAGAAAGTTTGAAAGGTAGGTAAACATTTAAACTACTTCCATGACTTACTGCCCTTCTTTAAAATAGGGATGCCCACGAAGCTCATTTAAATAGTTTTGTACTATATACATTAAAAAGCAATTAATTCTCTGAATTGTTACTTAAATAAGACGTACTATACAACAGTATAGCTATAAAAATCAATGTTTTCAAAATTGATATTATAAAAGCCAAAAATGAAAAAAATAAACATAACGCGAGAAACCATTGACGAATCAAGCTAACGTCTTTATATATTTTTGACCAGCATTTCAGTGATACTATGGTACTTATTAATTGGTTTGGACTAAATTTTTTCTGGTTTGTTCTCTCAGAATGGTTATATATTGCAATGAAATAGACCAGGGGTCAGCAACCTGCGGCTCGCGAGCCGCATGCGGCTCTTTTGATGTCATGATGCGGCTCTTCAGCTCCATGCACAAATATTAATAATTATTTTAATTTATTTTTAAAACTCATAAAAATATTAGTCTGCAATACTTGGTAATTAAAGATTTAGATCTAATAACAATGTAAAGTTTCTAATTTTGAGCAGAGCTTGCTAAACTACTTTAATATGTTTTGTGCGAAACATGTGTATGATTTTATATGAATAAATATTATTTCATATTTAAGCTATCTATTTTAAATGTGTATATATATATATATATATATATATATATATATATATATATATATATATATATATATATATATATATATATATATATATATATATGGGGCCCTAATTTTTTTATTGCGGGGGAGCCTTTTTTTTCTAGTTCCGCCACTGCATGCATGCCAAATTTCAGGTCTCTAGAGCAATCAGAAGTGGGCTAATTTTCGATGTCAATTTTAACAACAAACATCCAAACAACCAAACAAACAAACAAACGCGAACCTGAGTTAAGAAAAACGTGTTAAAAACGTTTTAAAATGAAGTGGGGTTAAAGTTTAAAGAGGAGTTCCACTATTGGCATCATATTTTCGGAAGTGATGAAGTCAATTTTTTTGAAGACAATAACGAGTGGAATGGACGGGAAACAAGATTAAATCAGAAGGTTGACCTTAATACCCTTTTAGTTACTCCCGGTCCTTTTTCACACCCTCTGCCATACGGAGTGGTCTTATCCATTAGACACAATTGGCACTGTGCCTAAGAACTACTAACGTTTAAGTCCTACAAGTTCATCAAATAAAATAACGAAAACCTAAGGACACCATGGGCAACAATAATTGTTAACCCTTTATCTACTGACGGTACTTATAAGTACCACTTTAATTAAGTGCCTGTATTATTTTTAATTTAATACGAATTTTAAAAATTATTGATGTAATTAATAGTATTATTTCCCCTGAGTCGCAGCTAGTTGGAGGAATCGATGTTTTTTGAAAATTTCTGGTGTGGCGCCATTTTTAATGTCTTGTTGTATCGATAGATCACAATTGTTCTGTACAGTTCTCACACACGTTCTTGAATTCCCTTTGTTTTACCTTATTTTTCAAGTTTTCAGCCCCAAATATTTTTTATTGGCACCTTTAATAGTCAGGCAAACGCGTTTAGCTTCTAGTTATACAATTTAAGCAAATTGTCTCTGTATTAGATCGATGTTTGCAAGTGGACGTATAAGTACCGTCAGGGCACACGGTCATTTTTTTAGGATTTTTAGGAAATGGTAGATTTTCGATGTGGAGTGACATAAATATCATTTTGATAATAAATTATCGAAATGTACTACAAAAATTATATTTACACTTGTATAAGAAGGTTAGCATATGGTTTACCTAAGAAATATTGTAATTACATGTTGATTTTAAGTAGTAAAAGAATAACAAGAATAAAGGTAGCAGTTGCAGGCTCGTTTACTAGGTTTAGTATACTTCATTTGTATACCAAAGCCTAGTTCTACTAGTAAGATTTAATTTGTTAGTTATATTTGCTGCAATAAACTGTCTTTTCTACAATAACTAGCATTTACGTATTGTATACCTGTAGACTAGTAATATTCCATACTTCTGCATATAGCATAGACCTATATGGTAAATTTTAATCAGTAAACAGAAAACAGTAGGCCACTACGGCTATCCTAACCGCATTGAGCTCACTTCTATTGATGAAATTTGCACTGTAGTGTAGACTTGTCATAACATTCTAGTAGGCTACAATTATACTAGATTTAGTTTTACTAGTAGTTGTGTACTGAATGACTAGGCTTTTGTTAGTTTATGTGGCTCATTGCAATATCTATTGGAAGCTTCCAGCAAAAGCATGTTCAGTTCGGCAACCGTTGCTACACCAGAAAGACCACAGACAACTATGTGGGAGCATGACATGTCGGCAACTTTTGCTGTGTTTGAGGTCTAAGATGTGTTCCGATAGAAAATCCAGTAAAAATCGTAATCTAAATATACTTTTGTACGGTATTTAGGTGTGAAAATTACAAAAGATGATTGTTATAATGATTGCCATGTTACTAGTTAATACACTGTATCGTTTATTCCTGTTTTGTAAAAAAAAAAAAATTTGGAAAAAATGTCCTACATTCCTGACGGTACTTATAAGTACCAATACATGTTTGGGCCCTTAAAAATTTATGAAACAGAATTTCCTTTGCCGTATGCTTTAAATGTGCCAAAAGCAATATGATAACACATTGTTTAAGACAAAATTTCATTCAGAACATAATTCCGTAAATAAAGATAGCAAATAAGGCGCGTCTTCCGGCACCCCGGCAGTAGTCGAGTTGACGCATCAGGCTTCTCCGTGAGCACTATGGCGCCTTCATTCGATTTAAAGACATCTTGCTATAGGGACATGGTAGAAGACAACATTAGATGATCAACCCGAGTGATCCGACGCCCCTGCTGTAGTGGCTCCCGAAAGCACCCCATTTCGTCCCTGACACATAGACGGTCGCTGAAGTGTGTTCTACATCACTATAGCTGAGGATAATAAGCTTACACTCTAAGCTTTTACACAGCCATCCTGGGACATATAGGTGGTAATGGAGACAAACCCTTGCCTCGACAACTATGACAAATGAAGTGTTTTTTTGTCCTTTAAATTACTACAAAGAAAACGCGTGGGTCTCTTCATAAATATCAGTAAAGTTGTCCAATAGATACTAAAATGACCCACGCTTTTCTTTATAGCAATTTAAAAAGTAGTGTATAATTTATTTTCTACTTTTTAGTGCATTATTACATAAAAGCTTCTTATTAAAACGCTTTTCATTAAAAAAAAACATTGTTTTGCTATCACTTAGTTTGCGATTTTTTTTTCTACGAGATTTTATTCTATTTTAAACTTACATATATTTGAAATTTTATTTATCTATCTGAAATAGTACTCAAGTTATAGGCTTTTGAAAAATTGAAAGTAGAAAAAGTTCCACCTCCGCTCATCGGAAATCGCTAAAAGTTTATACTGATCTACACATTTTATAAAATACTTATATATGAAATTTCATCAACCTAGCTGTAACGGTACTCAAGTTATCGTGTTTACAGACACACAGTCACACACACACACAGACATACGGACAAGATAGCAAAACTATGTTTCCGACTCAGGGGTTGTAAGATGTCGAGATTTGCAAAAATAGCGATATATTTTTCCACGATTACTATAATTTATCTGTACTTTTTAAAATACGAAAAAGTAAAATGAAACATAAAAAACGTTTTAAAAAGTAGATTTTGTTTTTTCATGTAGGTGTTGGTAGGTCGAGTAGTTATTCGCTTGTAACTTGAGCTGAATTAAATGAAGGATTGAAAAATAATAATATAAATATTTTAAGCAGCACGACCGATATATACAATGTAAATACGACTGAGATATTTCAAAATCCTGCTCTTTAAAAGTTAAATAATTAAATAACAAACATAAAAATAAAAAAAAAATCAGAGTTTTTAAAATAACAAATAAAGTTGAAGTAAACGACTTACCCTAGCAAGATGATGTCCACGTCTACTGCCAAACACTACACCCAGACTAATGCGTGCTACACGTTTTATCCCTTCTTTCTAAACCCACTTTCATTGTATAGGTCAAAAGTATTGACCTCAAGATTATAACCCACGTGATATCTACGCCTGTTCTGCACCTGAAAAATCGTTTACATATTGACTAAATAAACTCAAGTTAGATGTTTGATTGTAGCCATTTCAATTGTTGTTTGTTGATACACAACCTAAAGCTGACGCAAGACAAAGCCTCTTACTTCAATGGGTTAAAAAAAGAATTATTGTTGTTTTACTATTAAATAATAGAGCAAGTTGTATTTTCAAAAGAAGTTACGTAATAAAAATATTTAAAATGTATTTATTTTAAATACGTATATATATATATATATATATATATATATATATATATATATATATATATATATATATATATATATATATACATTCATACATTTTATATGTATATATGTGTGTGTATACCGTAAATCGAGTTGCCTGGCTGCAACTTAAACACTTACACATTAACACACACACATATTATTTTAAGATAAATTATAACCCTAAAGTAACCTACTTTATTGTTATAAACAAAGATTTAAATGAAGTATGTAACGCCTGAAAATGTTCAGAAAAGGAAATTAAAATGTTATGACTGTATCCAGTGGTGTAGCGAGGTCGGGTGTCACCCGGTGCGGCACTTAATGGTGTCACCCCCCCCCCCCCCCCAAAGGCGATGCGACCCTTACCGGGGACAAACTTTCAAGTTTTTGATTTGCACCCCCCCCCCCCTCAAACTTTCGATTTGCACCCCCTCAAGTTTTTCTCTATATATATATTGCTATTTTTTGCCTTGGTGTCACCCCCCTAAATGGTGTCATCCGGTGCGGTCCGCACCCCCGCCCCCCCCCCTCGCTACGCCCCTGACTGTATCTGTTTTGGCCACGCAAATTTAAAAAAAGTTTTTAATACGCTGACGACTCTGCCAACCCGCCAGATATAAATTGGGAGAACATTTTTAAAGTTATTTACTCCGTAAAAAAGGAAAATAAACCGGGAGTGATCTCCCCTAAACTTTCTCGAATATTCTTATATAAAATAACAGGGGATGGGAACTCGGGCTATAGACATGATTTTTAATCCATTTTAAATACTTAAAGTTTTAAAAATAGAATAAAATCTCGTAGACAAATTAATTGCACACCAAGTGAACGCGAAATAAAAAAGCGCATAATAGTGCGCAATATTATTATTACTTTTAAAATTTACATTAGTTTTTTGAGAAATCGGAAGTAGCGTAAAGTACTACTTCCAGTCAACGGAAATGACTCAAAATTTAATAGAAGGTAGAGAATTAGATCTTTTACTTACGTATGAAATTTCATTTATCTATCTGAAATAGTACTCAAGTTATAGGCTTTTGAAAAATTCAAAGTAGGAAAAGTACCACTTCCGGTTATCGGAAATCGCTCAAAAGTTGATACGGATCTACGATTTTGATAAAATACTTATATATGAAATTTCATCAACCTAGCTGTAACGGTACTCAAGTTATCGTGTTTACACACGGACACACACACACACAGACACACACACAGACACACAGACATACGGACAAGATTGCAAAATTATGTTTTTCCGTATCAGTGAGATGCAAAACGTCGAGATTTGCAAAAATCTCGATTTTTTTTTTTTGCACGATTACAAGACTTTCTCTATACTTCGTATATACGAGAAAGTAAAAAAGGCCAAATTTTATTTTAAATAAACTTTATTATAATCTAACCAATTCCATTTCTAGAATATAAAAAATGTATCAAATATATATTATTAAACGCTATTTTAATAAAGAAAATAAAAATGTTTTGTATTTTAATACTTTTAAAACAAAATAAGATAAATTTGTTGTATACTCAAAATAGAAGAACTGTTATGAGTATCGTATTCAAAATTGATAATACCAATGCAAATTAAACACAAACGTAAAACTGTAGGGGCGCCAGAATATGCCATTGATTCGAATTAGTAAACGACGTAATGTTAATTCAAATTAAACTTTTTAATACAAAACCGTCAATGTTGGGTATATATTAATTTATCAGTTTAGCCTAAGTACAATAATTAAAACTTAAGGAATATTATACAATAGCGATCATATATATATATATATATATATATATACATATATATATATATATATATATATATATATATATATATATATATATATATATATATATATATGTATACATGTATACATGGACCCCTGTGTAAAAAATATATTGACAATGTTACATATTCAAATCTATTTATGAATCAGTATATCTTTATAATTGTATATGTATAATTAGAACGGTCATCTAAAAACTAACGCTATGTTCATTTTGAGTTGGTTATTTCCCTTGCCCCCCCCCCCCCCCCCCCCACCTTACCACCTGAAGAGGACAGGCCATCTTAATTGTTGCATTAATGTCACACCAAGGTATACGCTGGGTAAGATAATATATTTAAAGTGACCGGATAGTGGTGGCTGAAGTTGACTCCCCCCCCCTCCTTAGTATTCTTCCAGACTTTTTTTCTGGGCGGGGCACTTGAAATTTTCAGAGAGCGAAAATATTTCCGAGGGGCGGACAGTAGTAAAAGTATATGTATTCTATATAAAATTCTATTTCGTTTAGGGGAGAGAGGAGGCAGGCTCTTTTGGAAAACGCGTAATGTGGTGCCAAAATACCATGCCGCCACAATTAATAGCTTTTGAAACAGGTAAAACTCTGTGAATATTGTTTTTGCAACTACCAGAAAAGAGGTGTGAGCAATACAGTTTAAAATGATCTTTAAACAACATAAAAAGCAGTAGCTAATTAAATAAACCGGGAGTGATCTGCTCTAAACTTTCTCGAATATTCTGGTATAACAATATGGGGGATGATAACTCGGGATATAGACATAAATTTTAATCCATTTTTAATTACTCAAAGGTTTTAAAACAGAATAGAATCTCGTAGAAAAATGAATTGCACACCAAATGAACGCAAAACAATATGTGTATAATAATGCGTAATATTATTAAAACTTTTGGTGAACGGAAGGTACTAAAAATTTGACAGAAGGCAGAGAATTAGATCTTTTACTCACGTGTAAAATTTCCTTTATCTATCTAAAATAGTTCCCAAGTAATAATCTTTTGATAAAAAATGAAAGTTGAAAGTTCAACTTCCGGTTATCGGAAATTGCTAAAAAATTGATGCGGATCTACGACTTTGATGTAATACTTATAGAACTATACGAAATTTCATCAACCTAGCTGTAATGGTACTCACATTATCGTGTTTACAGACACACACACGCACACATACACCCAAACAGAGACATACGGATAGAATTACAAAGCCCATTTTTTCAGACTCGATTACGCATAGAACAACAAAATTTTGATAAATTTTAATTTATAATATTAAAAAAATCCTCTATATTCAGGATAAGAACAAGGCCTGAGGTGTAAAACGATGAAAACTGTCAAAATTTTAAGTATTTCAATTAATTTGTGTGCACGATTACAATACTTTCTCTATACTCTGTATACGAGAAATTAAAATTGTATGTACACAACATACCAGCTGACGCAGAACAAAATATTTTACTTCAAACGCTCCACCGACAGATTATCGCTATAATATTACCGATTAATGATGTTTTATATCATATCAAAAGAAATTTCAAACTCAAATTATTGTAATACATTTTTAAATTGTAACGATTTTGTTTTCGATATAAACTTCATTAAATAAGTTTCTGTTTGCAACATATATATGCGCACATACACACCACTGCCTTGGCGAAGGTTGGGGGGTTAATGGGCTTTTTAACCCCACACCCCCACCCCCTTTACGGTTTTCTGTGTAAAATAAACATTGTATCGTCATAATACCACTGGCAGCCTACTATTTGACTCTATTTCTACATTTGTATATATAATAATTAATTATGTATTTTTAAGTCATCTAAAAACTACCACTATATTCACTCTGAGTTGATACCCCCCCCCCCCTTCAGCTAACCAGCAGAACCAGTGGCGGAATCGGAAAAAAATGCCCCGCAGAAATCGTTTCAGGCCCTTAATTAATACTAAATCAATAAAAAAATGTTTACTACGCCAAAACCACTTTTTTTGTTATTAGTCAAGCAAATCCACTGAAACTTCATCCATATAATATATGCTCAATAAGATTTTTAAAAAGGGTTAGAAAAAATAAAAATATTTTTGGTTGCCATGGTTACGTCCGCCACATTGGATTTTTGTTTATCATTTTCAAAATGCTAAGGCTCAGCAACCACTAGAGGTAAACACACAGAAATGCAAGCATTATGTAGAATATTGCTAGGCTGAAACTTCCTATCAAGTACGGTTTAAGAAAACGGCTTAAAAATTTATTTTTAATTTTTAAATACTAGACTGTTAAAAAAGCTGAAATTTGCTCAAATTCAACATATTTTAGTCCATAAAATCTAACGTAATAAAAATCTTTAAAAAAATGCTTTATAGAAGTTGTTTAAATATGTTAGAAGAATAATCAGGCTAAGTTTCATTATAATACATGCAGAACTAAAAGAGGAGTAGTGATGTGAAAAGTGAATTTTGACGTTTTCAGAAAAACGCAAAAAAACCAAAGAAAAATTAAAAATTTCATTCCTAACCTAACAAAAACTAACAAAATTTTGTTTAATTTATGCAGGTTTATTTAATACATAAAAATGCAATGAAGTATTAAACTTGCAAGTACATTTTAAATAATAAAGTAAAAAAATTGTCATACACAGATAATGCGTCAAATATGTAAAGGTGAAAATCATTTTTATATTCTTAAAATAAGCTGAACCACACCTAACAGTTCTATATTGTTAAGCATATTCACATTTCATTTTGGCAAATGCTACTTTTTCCTGCCATCTAGCATTTTCTATTTCCAGATTAGTGGTCCGGCAAAATATTTTAACGCTTTTTTAAAAATCCTTGCTACCACTATAACTATAATAATTGATTTGTTCATCTCTTCAGCGCCC